TATCTCGGCTATATCTCGGCTATTCTCCGTTGAGTCTCGGCTATATCTCGCCTCGTCGAGGATGATTAGTTTGTACGGTGGGAGGCCACGGCTGGTGCCGCCCGTGCCGACGGAGACCTGGCGGCGAGGGCGGCGAGGGCCGGGGTGGGTGGGGGGGGTGGGGGTGGCAGCGCGCGCGCGTGTGTGTTTGTATGGTGGTGGTGGAGGAGGAGAGGCGGGAGCGGAAGGAGGAGGGGGAAGGGGGGAGGGGGGAGGGGGCGGCGGCGGCCTGCGCGAACGACTTGATCTTGTTGCGCACGACGGCGATGCCGCGCTCGTCCGAGGCGTTGAGCTCCATCACGCGCGAGCGGAGCTGCGGGAGGCGGGCGGGGGCAGCTCACGTCGCCAACCTCCCTCTCTTTTTCGTCTCTCTTGCGCGGCGAGCCAGCCGAGGTGAGCCCGCCGAGGTGCGACGCGAGAGCGCGCCGGGCACCCGCGGCCGGTTGTGGGGGGGACGGGGCACAGACCTCGTCGCCGAAGAGGCTGCGCGCGGCCGCGAGGATCGTCGAGGTCTTGCCCGTGCCGGGCGGGCCGTAAAAGATCAGGTGAGGCAGCTGCGCGGGGCGGCGAGACAGCGGTCAGCTGGAGAGAGGCGAGAGGCGCGGCGTTTGCGGGCGAGTGCGAGGGAGGCGCACGTTCTTCGACTCGATGGCGTTGCGCAGCGCCGCCGTCACCTCCTCCTGGTGCGAGACCTCGTCCATCGACTTGGGCCGGCTGCGAGTCGGGATGGCGGGAGTCGTGAGCGCACGTGGCCGGTGCGACGCAGGAATGAGCAGGCGGCGCGGTCGTGAGCGCGCACTATTTCTCGACCCAAGGCCGCTTGTCGGTCGTTGAGGCGGAGGAGGAAGCCATGAGGGTAGGCAGCAGAAGGAGCAGGCAACCGCGCGCCGGCTGTTCCCGCCAGGACAAAAAGAATTTAAACAAAACAACTCTCTCTCACAGCACACAGGCTCGACACAGGTGCGAACTGGCGCGTGCTAGTACTATCACCGGCACACAAAAAGAACCCCTTGCGGTTCTGTTGCCATCCCAAACTGCACACACACACACACACACACACACACACACACACACACACACACACACACACACACACACACACACACACACACACACACACACACACACACACACACACACACACACACACACACATGCACAGACACACAGCCCCTTCCCCTCCCCCCTCAAGGGCGAGGACACGCACAGGCCGCACCTCTAGTGAGGCCCGCATAGTATGTGGGAGACTCGTGCCGCCGCCCCTGCCACCCCTGTGTCAGTGTGCCTGTGGTAGGAGAGACTGCCAGCGACAAGCTGGAGGCAGGTCGCTAGACTGAGATGAGACCGCCAGTGGATGTGGGAGTCCACCGCGCACCGCGCTGCGAGCCTGTCGTGTCCCTTGTCAGGAGCAGGAGAGCCCCACCTGTCCCCCTGATCGTCCTTCCAAAATCCTGCTCGTGCAGGTGGGGACCCTGTCCTCCTCCCCCATCCCTCGTCTGGGTTTGTCTGTTTTCTTTCTTTCTTTCTTTCGGACGACCGCGAGGTGGCATGAAGGTTGCAGCGAGAATCGGAGAAGGACTGCGAAGAGAGATAGGAAGAGGCGGACGCCCAAGGGTGGGCGACGGCTAGCGCACCACACACCTCTCCTTAAAATCCCTGTGTGGTGGCGGCGTGCCGTCCTCCCATCCCTCCCTTGGGTTGTCTGTTTTCTTTCTTTCTTTTACCCCTCCTCCTCCTCCTCCCTCCTCGTGGGGACCCTGTCCTCGTCCCATCCCTCGTTTGGCGTGTCTGTTTTCTTTCTTTCTTTCTCAAACTGTCACTCCCCTTTCTCCCGGCCGGGGTGGGGCGCGCGCGGGCGGGGGCGGCGGGTGTGCGGGATGTCTGTGGGCCCGAGAGCGATATGCCATGTCCGCCTTGCGTTTGTTTCATAACATCGAAGGCTAGCTCAAAAAAGGATTCAAGAGAGAAAGGCACATACAAGGATTCATGTTGGCCACAGAGGCAGAGGAAAGAATTTTACGAGCAAACTCCCTCGCACGACACTGGGCACGGGACTGGCGCGCACTGGCAGTTCTGGCACTAACACAGAGGTACAGGGTACACGCTACTTGTACACCAAGGAGAGTTTTACAACAAAAGTCTCTCGCACACGCACGATTAGAGACTAGGTAGGTAGGTAGAAAGGTGAAGAACAGCCAGGCTCGGACTGGACACCAACGCGGTATGGGTGGACGCTGGACAGATGATGACGGCACGCACGAGCGACATACAGACACAAACAGGCTCACAAGACACACACGACAGCCAGATGGCTGCCACACACCCCCTGAGTTGGCGTACACATAACTCAAGGCCACATCCTCCCTGTCGCCCCCCCCAGCACCCACGGTGCCAAGAGTACAAACAAGGGCACAACGACAACAGACGACAGCAAGTAACATGCAAGGCTAGAGCAGGGCCGTCCCGTTTTGATCTCTCGATGAGTGGGGGGCCGAGCCGCCTCGGGGTGGCGGGCGGGCGGGCGTTTTGAAAAACAGAAAACAGAAAACAAGCGCACCCCCCCTAGTCAGGGCTCTCTAGCCCGTAGCCCGATCCCGATCATCCGGCCCGCTGGGTGCGCTTCTTAGCTCCCCGGCCCTGGATGTGAGGCTAATGACTGCACTCCAAGTGCTCCAAGTGCTCCAAGAGGGGGCCCGGGGGCCCGGGACCCCACTGGGAGTAGAAATTACGCCCGACCGTGTGTGGGGTCATGTGAGGTGTCTATGGACGCTCTCTTCACGGGCTAGCGGCCTACTGCCAGCCCTAACTCGCACTCACGGGCAGTGACAATTCAATGTGTGAGTGTTTGCGAGCAGAAGCGCGTGTGCATGTGCTAACTCTAGCTAGGCCGCACGTCGTGGCACTATGACGGAGGTGGACGTGCGGCCGCAGCGCGCCCGCCGCAGGCTCGGCGGTGCGCGCGTGTTAGCGAGAAAGTTGCGGGTAGAGCCGTGCCCGACTTTTCGAAGACGAGCCCCGCACCACACCCCACACGGATGCCAGCCCGCGTGCCTTCGCGCATCGCGGGAGTCGTCTCTGTCTCTCGAGACTGCTGACTGGGCACGCGCACGGGAAGTGACTGGCGCTCTGCCGCTGGCTCGCACTAACACAGTAAAAAATAAATATGAGGGTTCACATAATTATTATTTTGGTCCAACTGTTTTTGCAAGTGCGCGCCCGACCTGCATGCTCGGCGCAGCATAATCTCAGCACTCAATCTGCGCTGAGCGATCAGACCTTCAGAGCGTAGAGATTAGACAAGTTCCAACGAGCTGCGATCACGAACATGAACGATCAGGGTTCGTGGGGCGGGCCCGTCTCCTCCTCTTCCGGGCGCCGGGGACTAAGATGCAACCATTCGCGTGTCCGTGCGTGGAGCACGAAGTCTTCAGTCGACACTATTCCTCCAGCACGGCAATGCGAGGGCCGATCCCCGCGCCGTCCCCATCGGCGCCACCGCCTCCCATGCATCCAACGCCGGGTCGTAACGCTCCACTGAGCTGAGGCAGCTACGTTCGTCCTCGTCCTCGCCACTGTCGTCGTCCTCGTCCTCCGCGTTCTCTTCCTTCTTCCCGCCCGCGGCGTACAACTTTCCGTCGAGCACCGTCAAACCCATAGATTGCCGAGACGCCGCCATCGGAACCACTGCCTCCCACACGTTTGCTGCCGGGTCGTACCGCTCGACCGAGCTGAGCCTGACGCCGCCGAACCACCCGTCAGTGTGGCCGCCCACAGCGTACAGCTTGCCGTCCAGCACCGCCATGGCGTGCCTGTCCCGGTCTTCCGCCATCGGCGCCACCGCCTCCCACGCGTTTGTCGCGGGATCGTACCGCTCGACCAAGCCGAGGACGCCCTCGTCGTTGCAGAAGCCGCCCGCAGCGTACAGCTTGCCGTCGAGCACCGCCACGCCGAGCGAATGCCGCCCCCTCGCCATCCGCGCCACCTCCTCCCATGCATCCAACGCCGGGTCGTACCGCTCCACCCAGGGGAGGTGGCCGAAATCGTAGCCCCCCACAGCGTAGAGCTTGCCGTCGAGCACCGCCGTGCCAAGATAGGTCCGCGCCATCGTCATCGGCGCCACCGCCTCCCACGCATTCGTAGCGGGATCGTACCGCTCCACCGAGCTGAGGCGGCCGTCATCGTTGTGGCCGCCCACAGCGTACAGCTTGCCATCGAGCACCGCCACGCCGGGACACGTGCGTGCCGTCGGCATTGGCACCATCGCCTCCCCCTCCCACGCGTTCTCAGCCGGGTCGTACCGCTCCACCGAGTTGAGGCACTCGCCATCGCCGTCGTAGCCGCCGATCACGAGCAGGCGCTGCCTCTCGCGCTTCTTCAGAGTCTCCTTCCAGGCGCGGCGCCACGCGCGGCACGTCCCCTTGGCGGCGTGCGCCTTGGTCGGAAGCTGGGCGAGGATGTGCGGGGCGAGGTCCGGCGAGAGGAGGACCTCGGAGAGCACCCACTCGGGCTGCTCCAAGAGCCGTGCGACGTGCTCCTCCGCCACGCGCATCGCGGCGGCGCTCCAGAGGGGCGCCTGCTCGTCGATGAAGGCGACGAGCTGCTCTGGCGAGAGGCCCGAGAGGCGGGCGCCGATGCGGTGGGAGGCCATACACACGTACGAGCGGGGAGATCTGGGCAGCGGAAAAAGAGAAAGGGCGAGATGGTTGCAGCTGCCCTTGCTTGTTTCTCTTGGCACCTTGGAGTGCTGGGGGGGGCGACAGGAAGAATGTGGCCCTGAGTTATGTGTACGCCAACTCAGGGTGTGTGGCAGCCAGCTGGCTGTGTGTCTTGTGAGCTTGTTTGTGTCTGTGTGTCGTTCGTGCGTGTCGTCATCATCTGTCCCGCGTCCACCCATACCGCGTTGGTGTCCAGTCCGAGCCTGACTGTTCTTCACCTTTCTACCTACCTACCTAGGGAGTAGGTTGTAGAGGATGTAGAGTGTAGAGAGCTGTAGAGCTGTAGAGATGTAGAGCGCTGGAGAGCGCTGTAGAGCTGTAGAGCTCTACATTCGGCGCGGGACAGAGCGATGCAGATGTAGAGCACTGTAGAGCGCGATTTTGCTGTAGAGTTTGTTGTAGAGGCTCTACAGCAAACCCGCCGGGAAGGCAGTGACTCAAAGAGGTCGAGCCGCACTAGTGGGGTGTCTCCGAGCTTAATGGAGCTCTGATGAACGGCCTGACTATCCCTGACACACAGAGAGTCCCTCTGACGGCACACAACACCCTATAACTGCGTCATGACCAGCCTGCCATGCGTCGCCGGTGCCGCATTCGTCGCTGTGCTTCTGTAGCAGGCGGTGGACTGTCGGCTGCGAGGACGGTCGCACTTGCGCGAGGCGAGGCGAGCATTGCTGCGCGTTGCATGCGCCATGCCTCGCGCCAGCGCGTGCGGGAGCTCCTGGCTGAGCGTTGAGTCCAAGCGAGTTGCGCTGGCCACGATCGCTACGCCGAGCCGAGCTGACGCGCCGAGGCGCCGGCCAGTCGCAGCCGTGAGGCATGCCACAGCAGCAGAGGCACCTGCCACCCATTGGGCGGGCAGACAGAAGGCCAGGGCAGCACTGGCAAGTGCAACGCGCCTCATGTCGGAGAGCGACCGTGCCTCGTTCGCCGCTTTTGATGTAGAGTTTGTTGTAGAGATTTCACGTTGTAGAGCGCCTCTACATCGCTCTACATCTGCATCGCTCTGTCCCGCGCCGGATGTAGAGCTCTACAGCTCTACATTGCTCTACAGCGCTCCAGAGCGCTCTACATCTCTACAGCTCTACAGCGCTCTACACTCTACATCCTCTACACCCTCCCTCAGCGTTGCAGGCG